TCACATTTACGTAATCAAAAATGATGACTCAAAACCAGCCGACTTTGCGAGCTACTGCATATCATAATAAGATCCCAGGGTCAAATGCGTAAAGAATTATAACAACCTATTGAAAATTCGTAAGTAATAATCTCGATTATTCATAACCTGGATAATTCAAGACAAATTGAGATCGGTTGGGTGTTAACCTTGCATAAAAATATTTAAAAGTTTGTTTTACTAAACGTGTTGCCTGAATTCGTAATTTTTTTGATTTACAACTTGAATGTTTGTAGAAAATAACATTGGATAACGCTTGTTTCCCATAAATTCATAAATGAACATTGATTACGATCTTTGCATTTATCAACTAATGTGGTTAGGCGTTTGGTGTTCAATACGGTCAATTATTTTATCCACACAGCTCCTAGCATTGACATAGCTCATACTCTGGTTCGTATGCAAGTCTGGATTTTTTTTTTCTCGAAAGTTTGTATTTTGCTTAAAATGCGAGTCGGGATGCTGACCGCTCCTATTTGACGAGCTGTGAAGCGAATAATCCTCCAGTGCTTGTAACCAGAGTATTAAGAGACTGAGTAATCAGTATAGCATACTAGAAGTTCTCCAAACTTTTTATTTGGGAAAACTTTAAAGAAATTTTGTCCTTTTTGACTTAATAGTTATACTGTCTCTTAAAATGTGTCATAGGTCATCTACTACTAAAAGCAGAAAACAGTCTGGCTCGCTTATTATTCACCCACGTGCGCATGTGATACGTGATGTATTGACTGAATTAAATTTTAAATCCGAATTAAAATTTGACTGCTGGACATTTATACATATATATACGAGAAACATTTAACTTTCATCGATGGTTTAAAATAGTTTGCAACAAAAGTTTTTGTTAAAATGCTTAAGATAAAACTCTGTCCGCTAAACTCTTTTGTACAACGTACATGTAAAATACATTTTGACTGTTACAAACCTTAAGCACTTGCGTATACATTTATTTTATGTTTTCCAAATATGCAAGCCTATAACAGCTTATTTAGTTAACCATCTTATGGGTAAAAAATAGTTCATTTTATTTGGAAATTTTGAAACCATGAACTTTTATTTTAGTTATTATTTTGTATAAGTACCCGATTAGAAGCCTACCTTCCGGCGAGTTTCAAGCCCGTTAATGATGCCATAAGCTAGGTGTACGGACCAATTACGGCACCATACATGGCCTGTATGATAAATGTTACCAGGTGAGAACATGGACCGGTTATGGCAGCCATAGGGTCCGGTAACCATATACAGTCCGTATAATCCCCAGAGCAGGCAAACAGAAGCGAAGATAATAAAGCTTAACCAAACTTTAATAAATAGGAAATGATAAATGATCCGAAAGTAATTAATCATTAATGACCCAGCATATGCAAAAATAGTCTTTATTAATCATTTTAAATATCGGTACAACTAGAAATTTAACTAGTACATTAACATTATACGTTACATAATAATCTCATTATTCTCCGTTTTCTTTGCTATCGTCATTTTTTTTTAAATCTAACTGGATTTTTTCTCAGCATTATTTTATCTCGTCCTCCTTCCCAATCAATACAGTTATTAATAATACTTCTTTGAGTATCAAATCATTACTGAATAAGTAGCGTTCAGACGCAACATCAATAGCAATCTGCAATCTATTTGAAAGCGCGAGTGCGAGAGAGAGGGCGAATGATCCTTTATCTCTCTCGCACCCGTGCATTCGAATAAATTGCAGATTGCTATTGACGTTGCGTATGAACGCAGCCTAAAACACTGCTGTTCGTTTTGTACGCATATACCCTCGGGCCTGTATACAAGCAGTATAATAATGCCGTACCGTATGGTTGCCATAACCGGTCCATATACTCACCTGGTAACACTTATCATACAGGCCGTACTGATTACCCTCCGACAGCGGTATATGGTCCTGATGGTATCTTCCAGAAACCGTAAACTTATTATAATCAGGATAGTAATGTATAATCTTGTATGACAGTAAAAATAAAAGATTTCAAATTTTGTTTAAAATTTGTTTTTACCGACTTGGCAGTGTTGAATTTTAATTACACGCAAAACCTCACACCATTATTTACAAATTTTTCAGCGAGCGACTTATTGGGTTAATGGTTTAAATTGCCCACGACGCTGAGTCACGTAAAGTCTGTGGAAAAGTGTGCCCCAGCCACGCCTACGGCACCAGGCATATTACACGCGGACTTGCGCTCCCATACATACGCGTATGTGTGTATGTGTCTGAAAACACTGACAGTTTTGAAATTAGATTGAAACGTATTAAAGAGGAATCAGTGTTAGGTAAAAAGAAATAAGTTTAAAAAATAGAACAAATACCAAGTAAAATTTGTCATTTTCTCTCGTCAACTCTGAAGTCATTCTGACCTTTGGCAGGTATAGTGCTATTACCGTCAAATGGTGAGTTTTAAACCATTTTTGCTTAATTCTTTCTTCATGGCAACAATAAAAATATTATTTTATGCAAGAAGTTGCCTCTGCATATACTACGAATTTTGATTACATTAATAATTTTAATTAAAAAAAATATATCAAAGGCTTTAAACTATATTTTTCCAGTGTCATGATTTTCTTTTTATAATAAACTATTAGTAGCTGTAGAAATATCAGCAGTGCCACTAGCAATAGCAACAGCAGCAGCAGCGCTACCAATAACAGCAGCAGTAAAAGTAGGAATGCAACCACCAATTAATAAGCAGCGCCACCACCACTACTACCTCGACTTTTTGTACTCTGTTTGAATCAACCTAAATCAGAGTATATAAATAAATGGTAACAGGTCTTGTAGATACTCTTCTGTTATATGGAAGACCTTTTTGTAATGCTTATGTCATTCGGCGCTACTTGTCACTTCAACCTATATTCTTTTAAAAATGCAATGAACTTTTTTTGACGGTGGCCATTTCAACTATTTTGCTTTATCAGATTTAAGACAGATAATTATCGACAAAAAGGCAGCACCATAGGAAGGCATAGCGAATAGTATGGTGGTTAATGAGACAACTACCATTTTCTCCACTACCCCCATCATTACCCACTTCCCTTCAATCACTAAAACCATCGTAGACAATATTGATACCACGATTACATATACTTAGTGATGTTATATATGATGAGCAATGAAAACCGTTTTAAGAATTAATTAACCTTATTTACAAAAAGCTGCAATGAAAGAGAAAGTGAAAGAAAAAAAAGAGGAAAAAAAAAACAAGTTTTTATTTGAAAAAGGAAAGAGAAGCGAGAGGTTGAAACTCGCACTTAACATAAAACAATTGGAAATAAGATATGACTTAAGGAACAGTAGCTGCCAAAAAAAAAGTTGAAAGCTGAAACTAAAAAGCGTTTAAAAGAACGAAGAATCTGAAAGCAGTTGAACAAATCACAAATGACATTTAAAAATGTATAGATAAAAGTTGATCGTTACTTTTGTATAGTATCGTTTGACTTGTCGTATGAGCTGCTGAAATTGTGTAATGTCAAAAAGTTGTAAGGTAAATGCTTATATTGTTTTATGCATGACAAAAATTATAAATCAATTTTTATATACTCTAATCATTACATGTTTAGTGTTTAGAAACTTATGGGGCTCAGGTAACAGCGAGTACTCATACTAAACATTGTTGTTGTTTTTGATAAAGGAGACTATTTTTTAATTTTACACAAAGCTCACAGTATTTGACTATAATGCTAAATCCTTACCTAAATTACAGTGTGGTGGACGTTAAGGTATAATCCAGATTGGTTATGCCGTGTTTAAGCCATTTTACTGTGTGTAAATACAGTGAGTAACGTAAATTGTGAATTATTTATACCCTAAATGTGTAAAAAAAAAATCTGTATGCATTGAAATGGCTTAAACAAGGTGGTCATCCAATACACCGTACCTAACCCACTGTATCCTGTATTAATCAATTATGTTCTTGACTTCGTTTTTCCTACAACTAATTTGATTGTATTAAATAATCAAATCATTTTACTTTTTAGTTAGTTAATCTCCTAAGTAGTTCAAAGACGAAGCCAACCAAGGCTATGGTACAATACTGTAAGGGAGTAGCTAAGAAAATTTGACATTTTCAAAAACATACTTTAAATACTAAAGATGATTTCATGCTAGTGAGAATATTGATGGACATGAATAAAAAGGGTTGTATGAACCTAGCCTCAGAGATGTTCTACTGTAAGTTTTGACCTTGGGAGATTATTAAAAAATGAAGTTATTAAAAAAAAAAAAGACAATACACAAAAAAATAATATACAGGAGAAATATGTTATATTTTGTTATAAATCACAGTGTTTGATTAGTATGTCGGACGAAGTTTGTTTGATAAAAAGGTGAAACCAGCAAAAATACTTTTAATTAATCTACTGTTACATCCACGTCGTTTCTATCTATTCTTTCACATCTACTTTTACATGATTTTCAACGTCGATTTTCTTCAGCTTATTATAACTAACGAGATCTTTTACATTTGTCCAATCGCTTTTCCTTTAGTTTGATCGTCTGCTTACGATAAGTGATAATGTATTCAACATTGTATCGAGGATGCAATTGATGATTGGTGCTGATCTTCGAAAGTGTAGAGTCGAGCGTCAATGCACTCGTATTGGCCAGGTGCAAGAGATGGGAGGGGATAGATGAGTTGACGCCAGCGTGGGTAGTGGCGGAAACAGGAAACCTGGGGTACCAAATTACTGTCATTTTTGCTTATTTAAGGAAAGAATAACAGTATTTCGTCAAATTTACAGATGTTATCATCACGTCGAGAATATCGAGAAGATAGTCCCGGTGATATTCTGGTAGATGACTGTAGGTAGTGTTGGTGCTGTGTGTTAAAGAGTGTGAAAGCAGTCGTTCCTAATTACCCTACCTTAAAGCAATATAGAGTCAAACTGAGTCTCCTATCCTATCGCGAGTTATCAGGTGTAATAAATTTCTGTGGTAACAGCAAGCCATGATGTATGGATCGTCCGCCTTTGTAGTGTGCCGCTTCCTCAATGTAGGTTAAATGGCTGTTATTTACATGAATAAATAGGCAGTAAATATTTAAATGTGCCTTGTGTCAGGACTTGTTAAGTGTAGCGCTGAATGCGGTTGTAACAGAGTAGTGTCTCAGTGATGCGTTGTTATTGAGTGCTTCGTAATTTAACAAAAAAGCTACTCAACTTTTCCAAAATCATTTTGCAATCCTTTCCCAAATAACATTACAGTAATAGTTGCATAATATACAACATCATAGCGCTGCTGCAGCTGCTGCTATTGTGGATGGCACTGCTACTATTACTGCTACTGCTGGAAGTAGCGCTGCTGCAATTACTGCCGTTGTTGGTAGTGGCCCGGACGCTATCACTGCTACTCCTATTGGTGGTGGCACTTCTGCTGCTATTAATGGTGGCACTGCTGCTATCGCTGCAGGCACCGCTACTGCTGTAGGTAGTAGCGCTGCTCCGATCGCTGCTGCCATTGGTGGTGGCCCTGCCACTGCTGTTGAAAGCACTGCTACTGCTGTTGGTGATAGCGCTGCTGCTGTTGGTGATGGCCCTGCTACTATCGGTGCTACTGCTATTAGTGGTAGAGCTCCTGCTATCGCTGCTACTGCTGAAGGCACTGGTACTGCTATTGGTAGTGGCACTGCTGCTGTAGCTGCTGCTTTTTAAAGCACTACTACTGCTGTTAATGATGGCGCTGCTGCAATTACTGCTGCTATTAGTGGTAGCCCTGTTGCAATATTTTCGGCTGCAATTGGTGGTAGCACTTCTGCTGCTATTGGTGGTGGCTTTGCTGCTGTTGCTACTGTTGATGCTTATAGTATAAAATTACCTGTACCTGTAGTGAAACGTGGTAGTGTAAAAGACGTTGCAGTTTTTTTTTTTTTTTTTTTTTTTTTTTTTTTTTTTTTTTTTTTTTTTTTTTTTTTTNACTCAACTGATCGTCAGATTTGTGCACTTCTTACGCAATAGTCTTGCCCACGCATCATGCATCAGAATTATGTAAGATCTTGGAAGCAGACTAGATGCAGACTTACACAATTTCGTTGTCGATGTAAGTCTTGTGCAAGAAGTACGTAAGAATTGCAAAGACTGTGCTACCAGGGTACTGTCTAAATTTGAATTACACTGGCCGTGTAATACTGGCAAATATAATTTTTAACCCTTATCACGTAAAATCACAATAAAATCTACCTAATCTAATAAAACCTATGATAATTGAAAAAAAGTAATAAGATTTAGCTATCAATGTGTTTTAATTTTGTTTGCAATTCGCTTATTTGGTTCTACAAATCTTTTTGTAATTTTATCATCTCTACAATTTCTCCTTGGGATTTATTTTTTTGTTCAATTTCATCAATTTTTTTTTTAGTGTGCAACAAGTTTGGCCTTTTCTTTTTCGATTCTAGTTTGTTGTTTTATAAAATTTTTTTGTTGCTTGATTAATTTGTCGTTTTCTCTTTTTATTTGTAACATTTTTGTTTTCTCTGATCTCATTTTTTTTCTACTGCTATTTCCAATTTAACAACTTTATTTTTTTTTTCTTTACTGATTTTTTACCACAGATGACCTGATATAACTGATGGAGTTTTAGTTATACTCTTCTTTTTGTTTACTGATTGAAAAATATCTTCAGAAGGCCAAGACANATTTCATTCGTTGTATAAATAATGGTAAAGAGACGCGAAAAAATTTCAACAGATTATATATACGCTTTGCGAATGATTTTCCAACACGCGAGAGAGAAAGGGAGAGTGCACCTTCTGCTTGCACCTTCCCGACAACGCCCGTGTACGAGTGTGGCGAGAGAATAAATCGACGTTTAAACGCACCTCGGCGATACAGCTGTGTATACACGTACACGAAGAGCCACGCGACGAAAAACGTCCCCCCGGCAGCAGCGAAGCGTAAGAAATTGTTGCATATTCACCGTCTTCGACATCATCGAGTCCCGCAGCATGAATAATTCAATAACCCTCGGAAGACCCGAGATTCGCGCGAAACGTGCGTTTTATTGCGAAAAATTTTTTTGTATATTCATCTTCAAAAAATAATTTTGTATGTATTTATTTTTATTGACTGCCAGTAATTGGAGCAGTGCCAGTAATACCCACAGTTGCCCAATTGGTGGTTAAGCTTGCTCCACTTAGTTTTGTGGTCCCAGATCTCTCTACATTATCTTCAAATATTCCAACCGCGTATGTATCAGGTACGTTGGCGAATAAAGTGATGGATCATTTGGAATTGACTTCAATAATTTATTTAACAGCAACTCTGGAACAAGTAAATAAGCTTGTAGAAAAAAAAATTAATTTAATAACAGTCTAGGAAAAAAATTAAAAATGATATTTTAAGGTCTTTTTAGGAAACCGATACCAAAGGAAGTTAAAGCGTATATTTGTGACAAAATGTAAAAAATTTGATTTTAAAGGTAGAGTAAGTATGACAGTTTACACATATACATACCTTATGTTCAGATTTCTTGATAAATATAAATAGAAATTTATCATACCGTAATAAACATGGGCTTTATTAAACACAAAATATCCACAAAAAAGAAAGTGTAAAAAGTTCATAGATATTTGTAATAAAATATCTAGTTCAATAATGATCAAGAAAAACACGTTTTGACAACAAAAAGACATAGTTAATAGTTGACAAGCCTTTTTGACAGTTTTCTTCGTATTTAAATTTTATTCAGTTGAAATTCCTAATGTGATTAGAATTCGTAGTATAAATAGACGCAACTTTTCACGTAAAACATTGTTTTTATTGTTGCCATGAAGTAACAATTCAGCAAAAAATGATTTAAAACTCACAATTTATTGGTAATGGCACTAAATCTGCCAAAGGTCAGGATGACTCCAAACTTTACAAGAAAAGTTGACAAATTTTGCTTGATACTTGTTCTATTTTTTTAACTAATTTTTTTTTACGTAACACTGCTTCTTTTGTGCAACGTTTCAGTCTAATTTCAAAACTGTCAGTGTTTTTTCAGACACATACACACACACGCGTGTGTATGGGAGCGAATGTCCATATGTAATATGCTTGGTGCCGTAGGCGTGGCTGGGGCACAGTTTTCCACAGACTTCACGTGACTCAGCGTCGTGGGCACTTTCAACCATTAACTCAATAAGTCGCGCGCAGAAAAATTTGTAAATAATAGTGTGAGGTCTTGCACGTAATTGAAATTTAACTATTAGCACTGCATGGTCAGTAAAAACAAATAAACAAAAAAATTAATAAAATTTTGTATTCTTACTAACATTATACATTATTGTACATAAAAAATTATAAATAAAATAAAAATTTAAGTTTTCGAGACTTTCAGATACAATTTACTTTTTTTACCAACAAGAAAGTTAACTAAGTAAGCTGTTCTAGAGTTGCATATTTAAAAAAACATTAAATAAATGTATACGTAAGTGCTTGAGCTTTGTAAGAGTAATATGTATTTTACATATACGTTGTACAAAAAAGTTTAGCGAACAGAGTTTTATCATAAGCATTTTAACAAAAATTTTTGCTTTGAACTATTTCACACTATTAATGAAAATTAAATGATTCTTATATATATATATGACGTTCTTTGTCCAACGGAAAAAAAATCTGCCCAAATTTTCAAAATTCGTAAACAATTTGTTATGGGCGCAAACTGTAGCTTAGTTAGAAGGCTTTCTTTTGCCGTCTGGCTTTTTTCCAAAGTTCAAAATGGTGGATCAATATGGTGGCTGCAATTAGTCAAAATCACTCTGAGGTAGCACTTTTACCTCATTTAAAATAGTTTTGGACCCTCCAAAATTAAATTTAAAGCTTTATAATATGTATTTTTTATCGCTGATCACAAATCTATTCTTATTTTTGATCGAGCACATTACTAATCTTCCTTTACCTCAAAAAATTTCGAAAAATGTAGTCTTGCGTATTATTACAACGTTTTGCACGTCAAAAAATTCTTAAAAAATAATTTTCAAGTGTATTTTTAATATCAAATCATGAATCAGCACTCTATTTTATTCTGACACATCGCTGAATCCTCCTTACCTCAAAAAACTTCAGATGAATCAGTTTTCCATAGTTTTTGATCGTTTATTATCCGTTAAGAAATTCTGTAAAGATAAAACAATTATGAATTTTTCATAGAATAAAAGAAAATATTTTTCTTTCCATTGTGCTGATTACTGATTTTTCCTATCCTCAAAAAACTTTGAAATAAAGCAATTATGCTTTGTTTTTGATTGTTTAGAATGTGACACAATTTGGCACAAATCGCAAATTTTTTTATTTTTACTGCTAAATAATAACACATATGTATATTTTATAGGTAATATTTCTGTTTATCACTAAACTTCAAACACTTTTTGATTAAGACATTCTACTTGGTTTCAAACCGTTTTCGACCGTTCTATTATCCGTATCGTATATAAAAAAATCCAAGGTACTGATGCATATTTATTTGAAAAACAAAAGAAATATTATTTGAGAAACATATTTATTATGTTAAAGAACTGATGATAATATAACAAAAGTTTATGATTGTTAAAAAAAATAAAGGGACAAATAATTTAACATTAGATACACAGCTAATAAAAATCAGCTGATTTCTGATGCCAAATCATCAGCTGATTTTTTGACTGTGCGAAAACATACAAGTCCCATCAGTATGAAATGCAAGTCCCGAGGGAAAATTTTGTTTTACCATCATCAAAACTATGCATTCTGGGGCTTATACAGTAGAATGAGATAGGTGACACTTGTGAGTTTAAAAAATTTTTCGATAGCCAAAATTACAAGTTCCGTGCGCTGAAAAAGTATTGAAAATTTTTCGATAGCCAAAATTACAAGCTCCGTACGCTGAAAAAGTATAAGTCCCGTTAGTGCGATGAAATACAAGTTCCAACGAAAAAAATTTTTCCGCCCTCGGGTGGTTTTGGGAGGCTGGTACTTCCTTGGGCGAAAAAGCAGTTCTCCGGAACTCGTTCGAAAAGTCTCCTTTACGAACCTCGTTACGTCCCTCGCCTTCGGCTCGGGCCGCAAACCTCTCGGTTCGCAAACAGAGACTTTTCAAACTCGTAGGAAAACTAC